GTGTGGCCTGGGTTCGATCGCTGGTCAGGGAACTAGATCCCCAATGTCACAACTAAGACTTGGCATGGTCAAATAAATAAATATTTTTTAAAAAAAGAAAAAAAGATGGGTAATACCACTTCATGCTCACTAGCTTCCGTTCTCTCTTAGGCATGTGTTCCTGATAGATGCTTCCATACTGGGGTTCCTTCAAAGAACACATCAGCAGATTTTTACTGAATATCTTCTGTGTGTAAGGCACAGCAATTTGTAAAATATCTTCAGAAACTTTCTTTGCTCCTAGGGAGCTAAATACACAGTTAGAAAGACAAAACAAGAACTGAACTTAAAATATATTAAAAAAAAAAGGCTTATATCTTGAAATATTAATGTGTGCATTTTCTAGGTGTATTCTTTCATCTGGCTGTTCTCCCCTAACCCCACCCCACCTCCAGCTACAGTGAAGTCAAAACAAGGCTCACAGAAAAAATAAGTGGGAGCTTATTACTGTGCAGGGAGCAGGCGTTTACTCCCTCTTGAAAAAAAAAAACAAACAACAAAACTAGATCTGGAGAAGGGAGAGGAGAGGACTAATTGGCCACAGAAACTGGAGAGGAAGAGAAGAACCTTCCATCTTTAAGACTAGGGAACAGAGAAGAAGCAGATCTGGCAGATTATCTAATGAGGTCCCTTCAGAGCCTTTGAATGATGGTGTCCTCTTTCCCCTCCTGCTCCTTGACTGGAGGATCCACCATCTTTAGGTGCTAAACTCCTGCAAATCCATTTGCTACCTCACCTCCAACAGAGATGAAAGGGGCATAGACATCTTATGAGGAAGACAGACGCTCAGATCAAATTCAGTTCAACAGTTCAGTCGCTCAGTCATGTCCGACACTTTGCGACCCCATGAATCGCAGCACGCCAGGCCTCCCTGTCCATCACCAACTCAGATCAAATTAGGACCCAACAAAACCAATAAGAAATTCCCCTTTCAGTGAGCGCATTGGTGGCTGCATGATCCCTAGTATATAACAGAAAAGAACGGGTACAGGAACTAGCATCTAATGCATTTGCTGTGTTTTGTCTCTCAGTGGGGTCTGACTCTTTTCCACCCATGGACTGCAGCCCACCAGGCTGCTCTGTCCCTGGGGATTCCCCAGGCAAGCATACCGGAGAGGGTAGCCTATCCCTTTTCCAGGGACTCTTCCCAACCCAGGAATCGAAGCAGGATCTCCTGCATTGCAGGCGGATTCTTTACCAGCTGAGCTACCAGGGAAACCCAATGCATTTAGAATAGATCAATTTGAATAATTATTAAGTGCATAAAAACTGGCACTGACAAGTGGCCTATTAACTTATATGCAGAGTCTGGCCGATGAGGTCTATGTTATATTACATCCAACTCACATGAGGACTTGAGATCCTTCCATAGACACATCTTTGATAACCACTTTAACCCCTCCCTTTAACAAATCATAAAGTGCTGTTCTGTTAGGATTGACTCAAATGATTATTATCACATGGCTCTCCTGGATAAGTGAAAAAATTACCAAGTAGCAATATGATCAATACAGGGTTTCAGGACTGATAGCGTAGAATTGAATAACTGACTTATATGACAGATAGATTAACATTGCCAACAACACTGCCAAGAAAAGAATGGAAAAATCAGCTTGTCCTTTTCTTACTTATGGACCTGTGTTCTTTGTGTTGGATGCCAATTAACTGAAAGAATTCATGGGTCCAATAATTATCCATCCACCTACCCAATCTATTCATCCATTCATCCATCCATCTATCCACTCATCTGTCTATCCAACTGAATGGCTACTATTTACTAGAAATTCATCTAAGAGAAGGAATTTTAGCAGTGGATAAAAAAATCCCTGGTCCTTATATTTTAGTAGGGGAGAAAGACAAGCAATAAAATAAATGGGTATAAAATGAAGTAGATCACAGAGAAAAAGAAAGTGGGGTAGGGCCATGTGAAGTGACAGGGCTGGTGGAAGGAAGGCTTAAGCGTAAGAAGAACAGCAGGGGAGATTTCCCTGATGTTCCAGTAGCTGAGAATCTGCCTTCCAATGCAGGGGATGTGGATTCAATCCCTGGTTGGGGAACTAAGATTCCACATGACTCAGGGCGTCTAAGTCCATGTTCTGCAACTACTGAGCCCATGCATTCTAGAGCCTGGGCTCCACAACTAGAGAAATTTCATGCACCACAATGAAGACCCAGCACAGCCACAAATAAAAATTTAAAATAAAAAGAACAACAGGGAAGTCCTTTCTGGAAAGGTGACTTCAAATGAAGGCCTAAAGGAGCCCATGGTGAGCCCTGTGGCAAAGAGAAACGAGCTGGCAAGGGAACCAGAAAGGCCCTAAGCAAGATACGTGAAGGCTATTGTGGTACAGGAAACTGAAGTTTCCAGAATTCCAATGGTTTAGTATTTCACATGATGAGCTTTTGGTCAAGGTAAATTTACATCTGCCCTTTGCTTAAAATTATCTCCTGACAAATGATACTTAGGCTAAATATTGACCTAATTTCTTAATATAGTATTGTGTTCTTCTTTGGAAATAGAGTATTAAGTCACCCCAGCAGGACTGGCAGTTTCTCTAATACTGGCACCTAGAAAGTTGGTGATGATGACAGTCAGTGACTACAATCCCGATTGCTTACTGACAAACTAAAACAAAAATTGTCATGGCTTGACCTCATTCTAATGTCAACCCTAACCATCAGAGTCACAAGGAAACTATTTTCAGTATCATGCCCCTTCCTTGATGTCCGACTTTAGATTTACATAGTTTTGCAATCTTTCATGGAGGTCGACACTTAGCATGGTTTGACTTGTCATTATTAACCGATGTGATGTTAATCTAGGAAGAATAACTATTGGAGCAGAGTAAGTGATAGGAACCAACACTGTTGTTTCATGGATGAAGGTGACACTTTGGACTGCAAGGTTTATTCATCCCTTAAAGCACTTTACTCCCCGGCAGCTCTCATAAGACCAACAGCTCATTTTTATAAGGGCTATTTTCACCCTGTATTCTCATCCACAATCTAGGCCTTCAGACTACGTGAAGGTTTGTGATCCTCAGAATCTAGAGGCTACGTATTGCACTTCACAGCAAGAGACAATCTGTCTTCATTTGAAGTTGAATTCTTGGTGCTATCATGGAATTCAGTTTGAATGCTTTTATTGGTGGAGTTAAATTGCAAAAACATTCGTCTTTTCATCATTTTGATCTCTTCTTTTGAGCAATGGCAGATGGAAACCAGGGCAGAGCTCAGTTATCCTTGGGCTTCCCTGGCGGCTCAACTGGTAAAGAATCCACCTGCAATGCAGGAGACCTGGGTTCGATCGCTGGGTTGGGACGATCCCCTGGAGAAGGGAAAGGCTACCCACTCCAGTTCTCTGGCCTAGAGAATTCCATGGACTGTGTACTTCATAGGTTGCAAAAATTCAGACAGTTATCCTTACTCTGAGCCAGTTTTGAAGTCTACCAGACCTCCTAGCTTGTATTTAAATTACCCATGAGTTATCTTATAATTTATTTCTTATGATACTGAAGAACCTGTGTTATGTAAATTACATATCCGCCTTTCTCCAATTCTTTTCCCACCTGGCGCCTTTCTCCAATTCTTTTCCCACCTGGCTCCTTCTTCCCAGAAGTGAAACCTTTCTTTGTGTGTGTGTGTGTGTGTATGTGTGTACATATGTATGTGTACATGTGTGTGTGTGTTAAGGGGTAGGTACAGCTCTGAATCAGAAGACAGGAAGTGGTCTTCTTCCCCACCCCCATTACGTGCTTACCAGTGCATTTCTCCATCCTTTGCTTAATCTCTGTCTCAATTTCCTGTCTCATCAGTAAGTGGAGGATACTGTTTGCTTAAAAGGACTTTTGTGGGGATAAAAATGAGCTGATACTTGTGAAAAAACAAAGAAGTTATAAGTATTATCACAGCTTTAATACATCACCACTACCTCCCTGCCCCCCAGGGGTTAACTCAACACTTCTATTCTCCGACCTTAGGAAACTGATTTCAAAAATTATTTCAGTTATTCCACATGTGAGGGGAGGATAGGTCTTATGCAAATTTGCAGCACATTATCTGACAACTGCTCAATAAATAGCAATATTGTGGTTTACAGGGGATGTGGGGAGTACGCCAAAGGTCTGAACAAGCCAGATCCCTACAAACCCAACCTCTTGAGACCTCAGGCTGAGCTGAAAGCCTGGGACAGGACAGCGGGGTGGCGGTCCCCCATCCCAGGGTCTGGACATCCGTGCAGCCGGCCCTGCCCTTTCCTGGCCAGGGTGTGGACAGCTGGCCTGGTGCTTAGGGCAGGCGCCAGGGTGGTGCTAGATGGAGCAAGGCTTCTAGGATAACCCCTCCCTTGGAAATGAATTCCAATATATAACTGCAGATTTCATTCATCTTAACAAAGGACAACTTCTATTCAGCTTGATTAAAACAGAAAACAGACTTCTTTGGAATTATCAATGTAGATTCACAGTTGCCACCCATTTGCACGTGTGAGAACCCTGAAGAATAGCCAGTTATTCTTGGCAGCTCAGCCTTCAGAATGCTGTTCCTTCCCCCAGGTGTTTCACGCCAGGGCTGTTGCCGCCATCACAGCACTCAAAGTGAGAGACCTGTAGACCTTACAGGAACTTGGCTTTTCCTTCTGCTTTGGCTTTAAGCCAAGATGTTTACTTTTGCCCATCTGTGCAAATTATTGAATAGTACTTCAACTACACATGGCACACTTTTTAAAATTACAATTTGGAAGTAAATCAGTTATCTGCAGTTAATTTAAAGTGGGCCAATTGTTGGCCAGACAAGAGTTAAATCTCTCTCTCTCTCTCTCTCTCTCTCTCTCTCTCTCTCACACACACACACATATGCACGGACGCGCGCGCATGCATGAATCATAATGTTTACTGCATTTGAGCAAATTTTTATTGAATACCTTAGTCACAGGCACTGTGACTCCGAGGAGATAGAGATGGAAATGATGTGGGTCCTGTCCTCAAATGCCTTTCGTGTGGTTGAGGGTGGAGTAGGTAGGTCACAGGAAACCCATATGTAAACCCACTGGAAGAAAACGCAGCGGGGTGGGGGGCGGGGAGGGGAGGGAGAGGGTTAGGCAGGGGAAGCCTGGAGTGGAACTTCCAATCCGCTTGAGTGGCATCTCAGAGGATGAATAGAAGCGACGAGTGGGCGGGAACTGTGAGAGGGAGGAGTCTATGACTGAGGAAGAAGAGCAGGGCGAACAGCCCAGATAGGTGAACCGCATTATGCCTGGAAATAAATACAGATAAGGCAAGTGGGAGGCAGGATACGGAGGATGATGAGCATGGAGAGAAGACAGGCCAAGTTAGGTCCCAGGAGTCCTCTAGGCATGCTAGGAATTTGGACTGTACTCAGGACAGATGGCAGTTGGAAAAGGTTGGGAGTGGCTCTTTGTTTCAATACTTGGTCCCATCTCTGGAGGATCCAGGAATTTTTGAGATAACCCCCACCAGGCCACCAAGCCTCAAGGAATGTCAGAAAGGCCCCACCTATGAAGGCTGCATTGACCTTAACAGCTGATGAATGCAGTGCCTTCTGCTTCCAGACATCTCTCGGGTACAATGCTTGCTACTAAATTTCATTTTTTAAATTTTTAAAGTTTTATGTTGGAGTAGAGTTGATTTAGGAGATGGTGAAGGACAGGAAAGCCTGGCATGCTTCAGTCCATGGAATTCCAGAGTCTGACAGGACTGAGTGACCGAACAACAATGGTTGATTTACAGTGTTTCAGGTATATAGCAAAGTAATTTAGTTGTACATATATCTATTCTTTTTCAGTTTCTTTTTCCATATAGGTTAAGTAAGTAAGTAAGTGTTAGTTGCTCAGTCATGTCTGATTCTTTGCAATCCCATGGCCTGTAGCCTGCCAGGCTCATCTGTCCCTGAAATTCTCCAGGCAAGAATACTGGAGTGGGTTGCCATTTCTTAGGTTATCATAGAGTATTGAGTATAGTTTCCTGTGCTATACAGTAGGTCCTTGTTGATTATCTATTTTATATTAATATATAGTAGTGTATATACATTAATCCTAACCTCCTAATTTATTCCTCCCCTCCACTACTAAATTTTCTTTTCCAAATTTCAACTCCACGTTTTTAAAAGTATTGGGCTGGATTATTTTAACACAGTGCTTTCCAACTTTAAAGTTTTTCATGTTAAAAATAGTGACAGCCTTCACTAAGATAAAAAGATTAAGCTCTTCTCATCTGAGTATAGGTAGCTCCAACTCATACACCCCTTCTTCAAATAGAAGGGCTGAGGGAAATGTCGTATCTTGGGTGCAAACCATTTGAGGCAGTACCTTGACCCTCTGGTTGGGAAACTTTGCTTTGAATTCTATTTCAAAATCTTATTCATCAGCTCTAATGTTTACTAAACAAGGATGCTTTTTGTGAGACTGTTATTTATCAAGTACCTTCCATGTGCAGCCACTGGACTGGGTATCAGGATACAGTGGTGAGCCAGATAAACTGGGTTTCTGTCTGGAAGGAGCTTAAAGGCCAGTGATGGTGGTTATTGGGGAAGGAGGTGGACTCTGAGAAGAAAATAGAAATTACTATAAAGCATGCCAGACGTGATGGCGGGACCACTATATTTAGTGGTGTCTTAGAGCAGGATCCTAGACGGGGCGTCAGAAAAGGCTTCCCTGCAGGAAGTGACATTTCAGCTAAGAGCTGGAGGATATGTAGGAGTGAGCCAAATAAACAGAAGGAAGAAGAGTGTTCCAGGCAGAGGGACAGCATGACTAAGAGTCCTAAGACAAGTGGGAAATGTACCACTTGTAAGAATTCAAAGAAACTCTCTGTGACTAGAGAGGAGCATGAGGGAAGCGTACACTTAGAGATGGGGAAAGGGAGCAGAAAGGAGACCGGGGTTGATTAGGGAGGACTTTGGCAGTCAAATGAAGCAGCCCTTGGCTGCTGCTATGACCAAGCAGTACTCAAAATCCTCTCCTTATTTTACATTTGAAGCCAGGGATGCTCAGAGAATTTAAGTGGCTTTTCTAAAATCCAATGACCATGTATTGACAAGGCCAGTGTGTCTTCTCTGGGTTCCCTCAGAATCAGACCTTGACACAGGATTTCATTTGTTGGGTGGGCTTCCCTAGTGGTTCACATGGCGAAGAATCTGCCTTTAATGCAGGAACCCCAGGTTCGATTCCTGGGTTTGTAAGTTCCCTGGAGAAGGGGAATGGCAATCCACTCCAGTAGTCTTGCCTGGAGAATTCCATGGACAGAGGAGCCTGGTGGGCTATGGTTCGTGGGGTCACAAAGAGTCAGACATGACTGAGTGACTAACACAACACAAGGAGAGGAAACACCAGCGAGGAACTGGGAAGGGAAGCAAGAAGAGAAGGCTGCTGATAAAAGGTACATTAACACACAGGTAACCGCGGGGCGACTCGGCCTTAACCCCTGGAGAAAACTCAATACACACCTTGGAGTTCCTGCATCTGAGGGGGATGGGAGCCAGACATCCCAATTCCTGCCAGTGTGGGGTCAAAAGCCACGGTGGGGGTGAGGGGAGATTTTCCTTCTCTGGCACTTCCAGTGTATTACATGAGTGGGTGAAGTGGGTTTCAGGTCCAAAGAACACCCTCAGACAAAGGATGCATGCATTTGGAAACTGGTCAGAGTGTGTCAGAATTTCAAGTGGGAGAATGTGACCCAACACGGTAATATCCGATGCAAAGTTCCAGGGTCCCCGACATCTGTGGCCCAGTTCTGAGTCCTCACACCATGCCTCATGGACTGGATTTCGCTTGAATTGATGACTGGCAGGCGAAAGATGTGTAGTGCCAATGAAGTCATAGAACACTCTTGAATCCTCTGCTGAGTCCTCAGCAACTCTCAGATTCTAGGCCTATGTCTCCTTAATCACAGCACTGACGTCCCATAATTCTCTGCCTTCTGGAGTCTTAGTACTGAAGGACAATATGCTGTTTTGAGTGGATGCTAACTGGAAAGTGTCAAGTCTAACCAGGGAAATAAATGAAACTCCACAAAATAAGAATTTAGTGAAGAATAAGGTATTAAACGAGGTTGAGCACTTGGCTTTAACACCTGGATTTGCTGAGGTAAAATTATTCAGCTTAGGGGTGATCTGACCCAGGATTTTTCCAGAAATGAGTAAGTCATAAGTCTGGGGAAACTGATATTTAATGATTTCATTTGGGGGCTAAAACTTTCCTAGTCGTTTACATTAGTAGCAGTTTTTCTTAGAGGCTGTGAGACCAAAGGCAGGACAGATTCTGGCCCTTCTTTTCCTTCCTGGCTCTGCCCTCATCCAACATTTACTGTGGGGCACTCGGATTTATATGTCAACACTGTACGTGCCCACATTTTTTTTCCCTCAGAAGACACTTTCATAATGCCAACAACTAATTATCATACCAAGAAAACAAAAACTGTGAGGGAGAGGAGAGGCGGGTTGGCAGCACCACTGGGTTGTACAAACTATGACTCACTCTTGTTCTAGGTTGAAGCATCTTTGCAGCATCTTTCTGAGAAGGACTTGGTGGTTGCTTTGCAAAGGAGAAAAGGCATCGTACTTCACTGTGTGCCTGGAAGGAAAGGGAGCTCTTCTCCAATCTCCTGCATCCTCTGGTTTACTTCAGATCACACAGCCCAGTGAACTTTCCATAGTGGGAACAGAGAACTGTGGGCTTCCATGTCATTGTTCTGGCTTGCTAGCTATACTAACAACCACTTCTTTTACGTATAAGGCAATTGAAGGATGAGCTTAGAAGCTGGCATCTTTCCTTTAAAGTCAAAGCCAGAAGCTTAGTTTTTTGCTTGCTCTTTTGGTAGTGACAGTTTCCTATGAAAACAAATTTCTTATTGGCGATGATGTAAGTGCTGGTGGAGCAATCTCAGCTCATGGTTAGCTTGGAGCCTGCCCCATGCCTTTCTGAGATCTTGTCTGTGATATATGGCTGACAAAGCCACTCCCTAAGAGCGCCGTCCAACATATTGCTCTCACCATGGATGAATCTGAGGTTCTCTAAAGGGATTGATTCTTCCAGAGCATGCTGAGTGGATGAGCTGGTGGCAGGTATAAACTACTTGTACTTTTTCTTGCTGGTGGTGAAGCCAGCCTTGCTCCATCTAATGGAGTGTCTACAAGAAGCAGCAGGAACCTCATTCATTCATTCACTTGCTAGGTACATTTCCTACTTCATCTTTTATAGCAAGTCTTGTTTGAAAGAACATTGAAATGTGTAATGATGATGGGTCAGAGGGTTTATATTAGTCAGCTGATTACAAAGGGACCCTCAGCTGAAAAGACAGAGACATATACCAACCCAGTGAAGATCTGAGTGGGTTAAAACTTGGAGTGACATAACTCCCCCAAACTAACTTCATAATGTACAGTGTGGGCGTGTAACAAAGGCATTGCAAGATGGGATTTGAGTTTTTCCAATTAGATAAGAACAGCTAGAACATACTTAAAAGATTAACACTGGGGAGAAACATTTCTAACCAGACTGTATATATGGACTGTAGCCCGCCAGGCTCCTCTGTCTGTGGGATTTTCTGGGCAAGAATACTGGAGTGGGTTGCCGTTTCCTACTGCAGGTGATCTTTTTGACCCAGGGATCAACCCTGCCTCTCTTGTGTCTCCTGCATTGTTAACCTGGGAAGCCAGAGACATTCATACACATGCAAGTGTGACCAAGTCTCCTCCAAAGACCTCTCCTTGGCATCCCATTGGCTGTTAGTTCAAGGCTGGGCCTGACAGTGGTTGTTACAGGTGGCTCTGACCTGCTGAAGACCTCCTGCAGGGTCTTCTCCTGCCGTCCCAGGAACCTGCTTGGAACCTGCTTGCTCCCTATCACCTCACACGTTTAATCATCAGGAATGCTATTTTAACTTTTATAGGATGAGACACTATCTCATGGTTTCTTCTGTACCTACTGTGTTCTTTGCTTCCACGAAAGCCCTGCCCCCTTTCTTCCTCCACTTTTCTTTCTCCTAAAGATTGTCTGGTCACTTCCTATTTCTCCTTCAGAACCAGCTCAA